TGCAGTCACATCTGTAGTCTGTGCTACTACAAACATCCAATTAGAGGTGCTGCCCGGAGCAGCCAGGCTCTGTACTCACTAGACAGGTCTGTGGTTGGTAGGACAGGAAGAGACCAGGTTGCTATGGAAACATGAAGGACAGAAAGGGCACCAAAAGGTGAAGGTGAGAAAGGAGACAAGACTTATATACCTATAAGAACAAACTGTGCACGTAAGTGTGTGCATATATATGTATGTGTATGTATGTATACATATGTATGTACGCATACATATACACACATATGCATCATATACAGTGGGATAGTCACTCATCCTTTCTCCCTGATTTATCAATATTAATATAAATGTTTTCGAGAGATTATCAGAGATTTTGTTGACAAAGGACTCATGCAGCAATAAATACTGACCCCCCAATTAGTCTTTCTAATAAATCCAGTTACTAAATGCTGGACACTATGTCTTGCGTATTTTTATCTAATTATAATTTTTCACAAACATCCAGAGAGTCAAAGGGGAATCTATCATTCATTTTAGAGATAAGAGATCTGAGATTTCAAGATGCCAAGGGATTCATCTGTGGTCATGAAGTTACAGGTAGAAGGATGAGAACAAAGATTTGAACCAATGCCAGTTTAGTTTCAAAGCTTGGACTCCTTTGGTTGCAGTGCACAGCTTGAAATGAGGTGGTGGGAATGCTTCCTATTAGAAATTATGGGAAGAGAGCTTTCATTGGGGGGGGGCGTCTGCAATATGAGGAAGCATAAGGTCAGCCAGGAAGGGCATATTGCTGTGTGCTGCTCTGAGCTGATGTTGGCATCACATCAGGCACTTATTCACCTCATATCCCACCCACTACCCCCTTGCTAGAAAGCCAAGTTTAATTTCCAAAGAGCAGAAGGCCTGGAGCCTTCCCCAGTCCTAAGGATTCAGGGGACAAAAGTACAGAGCAGTAAAGGGAAGAGTGGGCAAAAACCAGGCTCAGACTCTACAACAAAGGCCCAGCTCATAGCCTGCTGGGTCAGCCCGTCAAGGGACAGCAAAGCAGAGTTTGATAAATGCTGTAATTTTCAATGTTTTCTTTAGGGTGAGTGGGGGGACTTGTCATTTGATTTTAGGACAGAGATGAGCAAGCCTCACCTGAAAGGGTTAAGTAACTCGTGCAGATGCCTCTTGCCAGGCACATCTGTGAGCAAGCACTGTTAATTTCCCCACAAATATTTATGAGAAGTCTATGCACTTATGGATATGGTAAAAGCTACAGGCCTCACTATCTAATTTCAGTGCTTGAGTCCAACTAAAACAAAGGGTAAAAACACAACACCTCAAAGCATTTTATGTGACCCTGCAGGCAGGGCAGATTTTTTTTCTTGGTAAATTCCTTTGGCTTTTCCAAATATCAGCTTTGTGGTCTGGCCTGCTGGAAATCATATCACAAGCATATGGCCACCAAAGCAGCCCCAGGGCATCTGTCTGCAGGGCTTCCTACCCAGAGCAAAGCTCTTCTCTAGTCTGCCCTGAGAGGCCCTGGGCCTATTTCTCTGTCCCTTTGCTTCTTTTAAAACCGGATGTGACTTTCCATTGCCAGAGCTGAATTATCAGCTGGCGAAGCAGATAACCTCAGACAGATGAGCCTGGTGGGTGGGAAGCCACCTGCAGGGAATTGGGTGAAGAAAGCAATACTCACTAGCTTGTGAAGACAATGGAACAAGGGTGGAAGAGTTAGCAGGAGCCACTGGAGAAAGAAAAATGATGGTGAACGAAAAAGGAAAAATAGATCATTGGAAACATACAGATGCTGAATTGAAAAAAAATGGGAGTAGCAATCCTGGGGTGCAGGTATGAGGAACAGATGTGAACTAAAGGTGGAAAGAGAAAAAAAAAACTGCATGGAACAGGTGGCTGGCACTTTACTGGAAAGTATGCAGGGCTCTATTTTAAGTATAAACCACGACCCAAGACCCTGTTAAATCTCTTGCACAGGTAAGAAATTGTCCAGGACCAGCTGAAGAGGCCTCAAACCTTGGCTGAAAACCAACAGCCACTTGGGCAGGATCACCTGTGTCCATAATCTCTGAGGGACAGGAGGACAGGCACCAGGGCCTCAACTTAATAGTAACTTTTAGTAAGGAAAGACTGGCTTTTCATGTCACCTTCTATATATGGGCTTATATATAGGCATGTATCTATGTGCACTACGTATCTTTTGCATGTGTATACATGTTTGTGTTAATGAATGCTTGTCCACACCTATATGTGTGTGTGTCCAGGCCAGAGGTTGACGTTGAGTGTCTTCCTCATTTGCTTTCCACCTTATTTAAAATTGCTCTATTTTAAATTGCATGTATGTGTGTATATCTGTGTGTAGATGTGTATTTATGTGTACATGAGTGTCGGTGCCTTAGGAAACCAAAAGCAAGCATCAGATCCTACACAGCTGGAGTTATAGGTGCTTGTAGCTGTCTGACATGGATCCTGGGAACTTAACTCTAGTCCCCTGCAAGAGTAATACATGCTCATAACCAGGGAGCCACCCTTCCTGCCCTCAATCACCTCATTTTTTAAAGATGGGGTCTCTTACTGAACCTAGAGCTCACTGATTCAGCTATGCTGACAGGCTAGGCAGTGAACTCCAGAAATCCTGTTGTCTCTGCATCCCCCTAGGATCACAGGCACATGCTGCCTTACCTGGCTTTCTTACATGAGTGCTGGGGATTGAATTGAGGTCCTCACTCTTGAACAACAAGTAATTTACTAACTAAGCACCTTCCCACTCATTACCTGGTACCTATAACAAAACCTGTACATCTCACTCTTTAACTTCAATAACTGAGTGAGATGGAATTGGCCATCTTCAATAGCTGGGCACAGCCAGTTTTCACACAGAAGCCTCTGGAAACATGGCTGCTTTTCAAAAATCCTCCCTAGAGAACATGATTGTTTACACTGCTAGGGAAGAGTGAGACAAATGACATTCAGTATCATTCCTGCTCCCCCAGAGAAAGGGAATGTCAAAGATACAGGGTCTTCACAAACAATCCTAACTACCCTTCACCATGGAGGATGGTTAGAGACTGTACATCTGCCACACTGGAACACTGAATGGATCTTTGGTGTTTGATTGACAAGTATCCAGAAGTTGTCCTTCAGCAATAATACTCACAGTCTTCTCTGAGAGCTCTGTGGTAAAATGGAAAAGCATCAACCTATTGGCAGTGTTGAATCAACGCTCAGGGCTTGGTTTTCCAGGACCTTCCAGGTAAAGTTATCTGATGAAGCCCAGAGTCAATGTTCCTTGAGTCATAGCAGTTTGGTTACTAAACTTTCATGAATAGGTGGCTCAGTTAATTAAGGTAAAAGTCTCCCACACTGTGTGTGTGTGTGTGTGTGTGTGTGTGTGTGTGTGTGTGTGTGTGTCTTAAGATATATAATTGTTTGCATTATTTGGGAAAGGCCTGCTATTTTATGCATTTTAATCATATACATTGCAATGCATTTAAGATTTCCTAGCATGTGTCACAGAGGGGACAACATATTAAGATAAAAATCTCAAGACACCCCTTTCAAAAAATGTGCAATGTCTACACCTCAAAGTACTCTATTTTGCTTCCTGGCACAGAAGCATGATCAAAAGTTCCAACCAGGCCATGAAATTCTACAAATGACAGAGCAAAAAGATTCAGGCAAACAGTTCTGGCAGGGAAGCAGACACCCCCCCCCACATGAAGACCAGGAGCTTAATAGCAAAGGGGCTTGAGTCCACACAGGCATTGAACTTGAAAACACATGCAACGGAACATTCGCCAGGTTAGAGTTTAGTTTGTTGAGAGTCACAGCTTTCTTATCACTCCATGCACTGTACCCAGAGGACCCTCAAACAGCTACATCATGCTTTGCCTGGCAGCCAGGAGGCCTTAGTCCTTTACATGCTTGTAGCTTTTGCTAGTTTTGCCTGCTCATCTCTGCCTCTGATAAACATGTGCTCCTGACTGTGCAGAGGTTTCCTAGGGAGGCAAGACAGCAATTCTATTACCGAAACACCTCAATGAACTTCAACAGTTAGTTAATGCCAAACTCTGGTCTCAGCTAACACCTCCCAACTCAGGGGTCTGGCAGCTCACATTTCTGGTCCTACGTCTTCTCTCTCCCGAGGTTAGGGGTTACACTCTGGTCCCAATTCCAGAGCCCCGAGTCAGGCTGTGTATGGACACTTACAGTCCTATAGCATAGGGGAGGAGTGCTTGTGGATGAGTGCAGGCTTGGCAGTGCACACACAGCTCAGGTGATGGCTGATTCTTTATCTGAGTTCAGGCAACTTTGTTGTCTTCTGAGAAGTGGGAGTGAGGACCCACAGGAGTGCCTTACTTAGACTTGCCACTTCATAGGACAAAAGGTGGGCTTGGTCTCAGCAATGGTAAACACTGATCTCATCTTCCCAATGGGGTGGGCCTGAGCGGCAGGATACCCCTGGGTCAGACGTGCAGTGACTTGGGGAAGCTTATGAGGTTGAAGGAAAGGCCCCACTGAGGTTTCTTCGGAAAGTGTGCTGTTCCCATGTTTAATCAAACCATGATGCTGATATTCTGCACATGATTCTACGATAGCACTTCTGCTTTTCAAAAAGAAGGTTGCTTCTTAATCCCCTCTCCCTTCTTAACCCTGCCTTCTTCCTTGTTTCTTTCCTTTTTCCACCCTTGCTTGTACGGAGGATTGAACCTATGGTTTTGCATAGGATAAACAAGTGTTCCACCACTGAGATATGTCACCAGTCCTTTCTCTTTTCATTTTATCTTGTGAATGGTCTCACTAAGTTACCCAGGGTAGCCTGGAACTCAGTTTGTAGCCCAGGTTGACCTTGAACTTATGGTCCTCTTGCCTAAGCCTCCCAAGAAGCTGGGGTTAGGCCTATACGTCTTAAGGCCTGTGCTAATTAATTCTTTAAGCCATACCTTTATTATGATCGAGAAAACTGACTTTTGTGCTAATTGTTGCGGTGTTGCGACCTTCTCTAGAGGACACTCAGAGTCTCCATTAATTGTTCACTTTCACATTACCAACAACAAAATACCAAGTCTGGGGGCTTCCTTCTTTAAAAAGTTAATAAGTAAAACTAAATTTTTTTAAAAAAATTAATTAAACCTATAATTTTTAGCATGACTTGAAGTATAACTTCTGCTATATTAAGAAGTAAACCCAAACCCCCCAACAATCCTATCTTAATAAGGCCCAAACTGACAATGAAAGGAAACTACTATGACCTTGAGGGCCAAGACCAGTTCCTCTGAGTCAGTTGTAGTCACTGGGGAGAAGACATCCAACAGCAAGCCTCATCCAGGCCTCCTCCTTTCTAACCTAGCAAAGCTGGTCCTAGCTTACTGATCACTTCCTGTAGAAAAGGGCCTGGAGGAAGCAGCTAGGATTGCTGGAAGGATCCAGAAGAAGAGCTTTCTCTCCATAGTTCCCCTGGGGCAGAGCTGTCAGTCCTACCTGACTGCTCCTTTCCCGCACCCCCACTCCCACAGGCCTCCGTTCTGACACCTTCCCTAGCTGATGCATTCAGACACCACCTTGGCTGATCATGTAACATCCACAGTCAGCTACTTAGTTTCTGCTGTTGCTGCAATATTTCAGAATATGTTTTATAATATAAGTTTCCCGGGGTGCCTTTCAGGACCTAGCAGCTTTCTCCAAACAGCGCACAGCTTCCTGAATATCTTTCCTTCTGGATCTGTCAGGTGCCTCTTCTCTCTGTTCTCTAGGAGCTCAGCCTAGGAAGAGAGAGTCCAACCTTGGCAAAGTGACATTGGGAGTTGGGTATCTCAGTAGACTGAGGGGTCAGACCATTTCTACTCTCTGTAGTAGCTAGCTGCCATCTCTCATTTCTCTTGTTCTATATTGTCATTTTACATAATTAGGCTGTCACTCCCATTGGGAATCTCTCCCTCACTCCATTATACTGGGTAGTTACTAAGTTAACTGGTCAGTCTGTTCACAACATGGAAATATACACTGTAAGTAATCCAGTGAGCATAAAGAGAGCTGACAAGAACTTAGGGCTCAGCCCTTCCCCCGCCCCTACTACAGGTAGCTGCCTGCAGGACACAGTGTACAGGGACACCTGTATGCCACCACAACAGGAGCTTCCTACCAGGAGGCTCTGTTCTTCATCTACCAACTAATAGATAAGGCAGGAAGCATGCGTGCTCCATTCCTTTACTTCCTAAAAGCAAACAGGAAGATTATTTTTGGCTCTTTGGAAGCGTCCTCAAGAGGCAGGTATCATTCCTCTGGTACCATGGCTAAAAGTGAGGGGCTGCTATTAGCTCATTACCCGGAGACCATCTGCAGATTTCCACCATGCTCGGTTCAGCAAACCTTATCTTTTCCACAATGTAATCACTACACACAAGAATTAATAAATAAGCACAATTTCAAAAGACACGGAAGTTGCATGCTCTAGAACAGAAGTGTTAGCCTCTTGGAGAAACCTATACACGTTAACAAAGGCACAGCTAGACTAAGGTCAGTGTGGTTAGGGCTCAGACAGCGTCATCTACTTCAGCCTCTAGGGGACAAAAAAGGGGCCAGAACTAAATTATGAACTAGAACTAGATGTTAACACTATGAAAACAGGTAATGAGGTATGAAGAGGCACTTACGTGGAGGAGGGCTATCTGCATTTTCCATGGATGGAACACAGACGAAAAGAAAAGCCAAGAGACAGACCCAGGGGAAAAAAAATAAGATGTAAAAGAAATGAACAGAATCCACAGAGCACACGGAGCTGAAAACTCAAATTATCAAATTACTTCAAACAGAAGGAAGATGAGAAGAGCTCTGCTATGGCTGGGAAGAGGTTAAGGGGGCTCTGTCTGTATGCTCCCAGGCTTCTCAGAAAAAGAGGCAAAGGGTTCTCATGTGTGGATTAAATCAGAGGTTCTGGGAGAGTCTGGAGCTCCATAATCACCCAGGAGACCAGTTCTGTCTACAGCATCTTCTTCAGCTGACCCAGGAGTCTTGTGGGGCAGCAATGTGGATGGCAGAGGAACGTGGCCAGGGCAAGGCCTGTCCAGAGCCTGGAAAAGGAAGGCTAAGCTGGGCAAGCGCAGTTTAGGGATGGAGGGAATGACAGAGAGAAAGCTAGAGGCAGCCCTGAGTGAAACCTGGGGAAAGCAGCTCACCCAAAAGAGTCCTTGAGGCACAGATGGTCTGAGGAGTCATCTTGAGAAGGAGAATCAGGTAAGTCCAGGGCCCCCTTAGGATGGTGGGGACCTGCTCCTCTTCTCAGAGGAGACTCTTCTATGTTTTTTCTTCTCTATGACTTAATATTGCCAGTGCATCAAAAGTCCCAGTACAAATGGCATGAGCAGTCCCTGTCTCTCTACTGTTTTCCTTCAAGTTACAGGGTACTTAAGGGCTTCTGTGGCCTGGCTCAAAAAGCAACTCTCTCAACTCCTTCCATATGCCTTGCTATTGTCCCTCAGCTTGTCACCATAGTTAATAAGTGGTGGCCCCTGGCTGCTATTCTAATAAACTGGGCCACCCACTAGGACGGTGTTTCCCACCCATTTTGAGGATGAAAGGAGTGCTGATTACCCATCCCTGAGAACCAGAGAGTTAAGTGGGCTACAATGACCATGGGGACCCAAAGGACAAAAGCCATCTTCTGAGCTATTATGGGAACAACTCAGGGTCCCTGTCTATCCCTGAGGAAAAGAAGGAAGAGGGTGAATGTGGGGAAGAGACAGAGGAGCTGGCTCTACTTACGGACTGGCTGTGTCTTGAACTCAGTGGCTGCACTTATCTCGCCCAGCCCCTTGCCGTTGAGGGCCGCCAGTCGTACTGTATACCTTGTCTCAGGCTTCAGGCCCATGATGGTGACAATGCCTTCCATGTTGGCTGTGGCGAGAATATGGGACAGATTAAAAGAGAATGGCCATGTACAGGGAAAACAGTGCTATGGAAAATAGTATGGTGGATCTTCATAAAATTAAACATAACCATTGTTTGGCAAATATGTAGAAAAATTGAAAGCAGGAAATAAACAGATACCTGTCCACTTATGTTCACACTTGCAGTATTACCAATGGTCCAAAGTCACAAGCCTTGATGACTTATGTAACAGATGAATGGGTCAATGGAATGTAGGTAGTGAGGACCAACAATGAGATATTTACCCAGTCTTACAGATGAAATGTTGATATGTTCTACAATATGGATGAACCAAGATAACATTTTGTTAAATAAAGATGTGGACACAAAGGGACAAATCACGTATGAGGCACTCCCATGAGGTACCTAGGGTAATTAGCTAGAGAGACAATTAGTAGAGGTAATTAGTAGAATGGTGCTAACCAGGGACCAGAAGGATGTGGAGAAAGGGATTAGAACATGAAAATGTTATGAAGATGGACAGAGGTGATGGTTGTGACTCAATGCTGCTGCCATGTATATTTAAAATTGATTAAATGTAAAATTCATTTAGATTTTACCATAATTAAAATGTAAGCATAAGCAATATTTTAAAAGAGAGGGGGCTGGAGGATGTCTTACTGGGCAACGTGTCTGCTGCCCATGCATGAAGGCCTGAGTTGAAATCCCCAGAAGGCATGTAAAAGTTGGGGGTGGAGGTACATTCTACAGCCTCAGCACAGTGGGGCTAGAGACAGGTGGGTCACAGACCACTGAGGTTCATTGGTCAGCTAGCCAAACTAAATTCATGAATTTCAGGGTCAAAAAATAAATGTAGATAGTGATCTAGGAAAGATACTTGATGCTGACTCCGAGAGAGATAGAGAGAGAGAGAGAGAGAGAGAGAGAGAGAGAGAGAGAGAGAGAGAGAGAGAGAGAGAATCTTGAAAGGCATCACTGGATTGACTTAACTTAAGAGATAGACCAGATTTGGTTCAGGGTAGACCTGTCATCTTGCTGGCCTGGTAGCTGTACATGACAGTTCCTGGGTACAGACACCAAGCAGAGATGGTCAGGTGTCATGTTTCATCAGAGAAGCAGCAGAGAGCAGAGCAGGGATCCTCTGCACTCACTTTCCCCACTATGCTCAGCAGCTGATTAGGTCTTATGTCTAGGAAGCATCTAAGATGTTCTGCCTGTCCTGGTGAGGTCATGAGGTCTGAAGCAGCAAGGGACAGAAGGTTAACAACTCTATGGAATCACGGCCCTAATTCTAGCTGGAGAGTTCCTAATTCCGAAGGAAACTGGAGGGGATGGCAGATGGTGAAATCCTGCATGTTCCCTACCTACATGGTCAGCAAAGGTCTGATAATTGGTGGGCGTGTACTAGACTCACCTTCTTTGGCATCATACCACTTGAAATGCCATGCTTCTTCACTCAGTGACTTCCACTCAGCCTTGTATTTGAGGATGGGCACTCCACCTGTGGCTTCTGGCTCATCAAACTGCACCTGTGCTGTGCTGGAGTATGGTTCCACCCGGTCGATGGATGGAGAAGACGGTGTGTCTGTGAGTATACATATGGACACCCACGTCATGTATGTGGCCCAAGACTATACTTTGAAATATATTCCATGCTTCTGCTCCCTCTTTGGGATCCTTTCAAAGAGTAAGAATCTCTGGTTTTGGAGATTCCACTTTCCTAGCTCACTTCAAATTGGCCTCAACCCATCCCACACTTAGACTTTCACACTTCAAGTGGCTTCCTGCTTCCTCACATTCTGGCTTTTCAGAGCCTGGATCTGTCTTCTACCCTGTCACTGGTATCCTTAAAGTGTATGAGCTGGGCCAGCAAAGGCAAGGATGGTGTGGAAGTTACTATGAAGGGCCACTCACCTGCTTGAACAAGGATGAATTCCAAGGACTCCTGTCCAATGCGGTTCACTGCCGTACAGTTGTAGTTTCCAAAGTCATTTTCTGAGTCAGGGGTTACCTATAGAAGAAGGAACCCAGAGGTTACAAATGTCCCATGGATAGCCACATTCACCTTTATGTTTTAGATACAGTTAGTAAAGAATAAATCCGATGATATATGCATTATCAATCGCAATGGAAAAAACCTAGTGGCTCACAGAAGGGGCACATTCCACTTCCCCAACCCAGTCTAACCACATGGTCAGGACCACTGAAGCTGAGGATGGGGACCTAGAGAAAGGCTCAGTTTCTTCTCTATCCAGTGGTCCCCAGTTTAGGATGTTCCAGGGAAGCAGGAGAAGTGATGGGACCCTACCCATTATCACAGGGCATGTTCCACTCTGCCCTTTCCCACACCCTAACTCACCTCCAGGTAGCTAGCAGATGGGGTGTTGTAGATCTTGATATTGCTGTAGTTGGAGCTTGGCAGCAACTGACCATCTCGGAACCAGGAGATTGTGGCACTTGGGTAGGCAAAGACCTCACAGGTGATGTTCACCTGGTTCCCCTCCCATGTGTACACAGCCACTGGGCCCTGGAGCTTGGGCGCATCTGCAATGAATGACAATGACCATCAGAACAACTACCAATTTCTTGAAACACCCATGACATGACCTGTCTTCCGGCACTGGGAAGGTAGGCATGACCCAAAGTAGAGTGGGTTCCTGGATCAGTACAGCTCTGGGACATTTTGGAATTTGTACATGTTCTGCTTGAGAAACTCAAGAGCACCGGTGGCTGCTAGGAAGCTTGGGGATGGTGTGTGTGTGTGTGTGTGTGTGTGTGTGTGTGTGTGTGTGAGAGAGAGAGAGAGAGAGAGAGAGAGAGAGAGAGAGAGAGAGAGAGAGAGAGAGAGAGAGAGAGAGAGAGAGAGAGAGTCTATGTGTTGTCTATACTTGGGGCCATAGCACTGGAACAGTTAAGGGCCAATAGCCTTGGGGTATGAACAAGGTGGAACTTTCTAGTGAAGCTGAAGCTTATCTGTCTCTAGCATCCTATCCTTCTCTGCTCCTCCCCCACCCATTCCTTCCCTAGTTACTCCTTACATTGAACTTCAAGGTACATGGACTGGGAGTCCTGGCCGATGGTGTTGCTGGCAGTGCAGATGTATTCTCCAGCATCTGTGTACTGGATGCTCTTCAGGGTCAGGGAGGACACACGAGCATGGCTGCGTACCACCATGTGCCCATCCAGAGTCTGCCAGGAGGAAAGCGACAGCATCAGAGTCTGAGGGGAGGCAAAGGGCAGGGGCAACTAGATCAGTGTGCGTCTAGGAGACAAGGTCAGCACTTGTCTGTGACCAGTCTCTAGTCTTTTCTCTAGGTCAGCCTCTAATTTCACTTCACCTAGTTCATAATGGGGAGAGAGTGTGGGAGCAGAGTAGGAACTTCAACATAGTTCAAACAGAAAATGGGACTCGAACAATTTGCAGCATAGTAAGGTCATCCAAGACTAGTTTGGGATGTATTAAAATAGAAGCAAAAGCCTTGGATGGCACAAATTCCAGAAAAGCCTTGCCTTTTGAGATCCTGGGGAACTAGCATGTGCCTCTGTCCTTTCCTTCTAGTCTGACTCCCCCAACACCCAGTTCCATGGTGTGTGAATGTGTACTAAGGAATGCCAATGACCCAAAGTATGGAATTATGAAGGAAACATCCTTCCTGTAGATGTGTCTCTTCTCAGGGTTCTTGGTAGCAAGACAATAATCTTCACTCTTAATGGGAAGCAGGTCAAATCAGGCACTACTGAGCAACAGCACAAAGAGAGCCACAGACTCACCACTCACCCAGAATCCTTTGTACCAAAGTCTGCCACCATCCCTAGTCTTCGATACTACCATGAATTTACTGAGTCTCCAGACTCACAAGGACTGCTAAGAAATGAATGAGCACATAGTCCCTAGGCAATATGTATTAGACTATTTTCAAGTGTTCCCTCCTTGATATTCTAAGCAAAAGGGGTGTTAGACCTCAAAGGGTCTAGGCATGTACTCCTGAGCCAGAGTCCCCTGAAAACTGGTACAATGAAGGGTCCTATTCTCTACGAGCTGGGATACCCCATTAAGTCCAGCACAAGATTCTCAGTAGAGATAGAAGAGAGGACGTGCTGCATCTGCCAAGGTATCAGCTTTGGGCTTCAGAGACTTAAGTGACATATAACCTCAGTTTCTATCAATGTGATGGATTGGAAGCTGGGGGGCGTACAGAATTGCACAATGTCCTTTGCCAGTCAGTCCAGGAAGTTGAAAAGAAAGGTCTTGCTGCCCTTGTACAGCAGTCTTAGCAGATCTATGGCACAAAGTCCCTTTACCATCAGGGATCTGCACTGTTTGGATCAGGTCCACTTCAGTCATCTGCGTTGTATCTGGGAGCTAAAATATGCTTCCAGCAAGGGAAGGAAGGGCCAAGGAAAGTCATCTGTGCCTATGGTTTTGTGCATCTCTTTCTCTTGGAGATGGATGCTCTGGTGTTCCCATCTGGCCTTTAAATAGGGGAGGCTTGTTGGTCAAGAAGCTGCATCCTAGGAGATGATACACATTAATGAGAGGTGACAGGAGACTGTCCCAGAGAGCCCAGAGACATCCAGTGTATTGGTGATGCTAGATCCCAGGACTTCATTTCTTGTAGGCTGACAGTGACTATCTTAGTGTCTATTTTCATATGTCAAACAAAATCTTTACCCATCACTCTGTATTAGGGACAATGAGAGCATGAAGTCATGTTTGTAGGTATCTCTAAAAGGCTGTCCTGCTTTGCTTGTTACTCCTCAATGCCTACAGCACAATGTCATTGAAGGGAGAAGGGTCTGAAAGTCGGCACATGGTCTTGTCAACTGTGGGATGAACTGTGATGATTTGTGACCTGGATCAGGCTTGTCCAGGGACTTCCATATACATAATTCTCAGGAATTCAAGAGAACATGACCACATGGAAAGGAGGCAAGGAGAATCACACGGGTAAGAGCATGAGCATGAAAGCAAGGGATGAACAGCATTTGCTCAGAAATGTCTGAAGACAAGCTCCGTGAAAGGCTGTGCATTTTTTTTTTTTAAATATGGTCTCCCTGCCTACATTTCCCTGTTGGAGATTTCTGTCGTTTAATGATGTAATCACACCAGTAGACAATCCTCTATAGGGATTTCTTATTTTGTAGTGGCTCACTGCAAGTTTGATGATGGGATCCTCCACCAGCTGTCCAGTTATCCCTTGGAGAATACACCAATAGACACCAGTGTGATTGGTTTATCTCAACCTGAAATAATTTCTTCTGGCACAGGAACACACCCGTAAGACACTCCAACCAAAAGTCCTGCTGACCACTTGGTAAGAGTGAACCAAGAATACTACAACAACTAGATCAACTAGATCTCTCTCTCTCTCTCTCTCTCTCTCTCTCTCTCTAAGAAAATATTTGTGGCTCTAATTATTCTCAGCAAAATAGTTTTCTCTTCTTTCCCAAATGAAAGCATTAAGCCTTTGAGAGCATCCAGAAAGAACCTGGCCACAACACAAGCCAGTCTTTGCACTCATCTGGCTTAAGGTCTTCATCTCCAAGTAAGTCAAATAGGAGAAAATGGAACTTCTGAGCCCCATGGGCAGCATTCACTTGAAAGTCAATTATGTCCAAAGTGAAACATTCAAGATAAAAGACACTTCTGGAAAATGGAGTGGGGTGTGTGCTTTCCTGGGAGTAAACTATTATTTCCACTTATAATCATAATCCATTTAAAATCTCCTTAATGCTCCCTGATAAATCTCAGTGACTCCTCAGGCCAGGTCTAGCTCAGAATGACAGGAGAAGACACACAAGGCAAAGCAGAATGAGACCTGTAGCTGTGGAAGTTGGCCCCATCATTAACCCCTCCTGTCTTTCTTCCCCAAAGCCAATGGGGCCATAGTTTTGGGGCAATAAAACATTCAGCCTATGACAACACTAAGTGATTTCAAGGCCACAGGAAGGAAGTATTACAGTGGGGACATGTGCTTTAACTACAGTCCCTATGTCATGTCATCAAGAAAGGCACATTACAGAGATGAATAGATTTGATGATGGTAGACTGCTCAGGTGCAGAAATGAATGTCCCTGCCAGGGGACAGGTGGACAACTTTTAAATAATAAGCAGCATTTACGGTTATGACCTGAACATGGGCATTCTGTGTTCTGAGTGGTTATCACCCAGAAAGACTAAGAGAGTATACTCACTGAATTAAATTATAGAGTATACTGAACCACTGGAATGTCTTCTGTGATTATAGTTTTGGGTATTAAAGCTCCATTTGGAGAAAGACACAAAAGGGACTTTAACTAGAAAGCATTCGCAAATTAGATTTTTGAATCTCATCTAAAGATAGTTGCTCCGTGTGTGTGTGTGTGTGTGTGTGTGTGTGTGTGTGTGTTGGTGCATGTGTGTGCTCATGCACATATGTGTATGTCTATGTGGAAGCTAGAAGTCAAACCCAAGTGTCATTCTTCAGGAACCATCCACCTTGTTTTTCAAGAAAGAGCCTCTAACTGGGATGTAGGGCTCACTGATCAGGTTAGACCAGCTGGCCAATGAGCCCACTTGTTTGTTCCTCCCTAGTGCTGAGGTTACAAGCACAAAACACCATGCTTGGCTTCTAATATAGGTGCTGACGATCAATACCACATCCTTGTGCTTGTGTGGCAATCACTTTCCTGACTGAGCTCTATCTCCCTAATCCCAGGGCAACTGGTTTTTAACATTTCAATTGGTCACTTATAGTTGCATGAACCAGGTGAAAAATGGTGAGTGTGATTATATGAAGGGTCTTCATGTACAGCAATGAAATACAAAGGTTAATGCTTAGCTTTGGTTTTCAACCCCCAGTCCCATGTCACCTAAACTGAAACAAATAGGCAGGGAAATTCCAAAGGCTAAATGATACTGACTTTACAAAACATAAACCTATTTGTACCAAATCACTCCAATCTTACAAATTTAATGCTCCATAAAAATAACAGATAAGTTGAACGATTTGGAGAAACCAGTGAAAGATGTCGTTGGCGTTGCTTTTGACAGGAAATAAAATGTGATAATTTACCAAGGCCAGTCATTATCAAATAAGTGAGCAACAAGATGAGTTGAGCTGGAAAGGAAAGGGCTGAGTGGGTTTTAGATCACTCACTCTGTGACTTTATGGTCCAGAGCCACAGCCACCAGAGGAGAGTTAAATTTTTTTTTTTATTATTTCAAAATGCCTGGCTTGGGAATTGGAGCAATTTATTTCTATCAGTACAATTACCTGGGTATGGTTTTACCAGCACCAGCAAGAGAATGTGGTCCTGTTTTAGGAAATAAGGATTTGTTCCTCCACTCCCAACACAGCTTGCTTGCTCATCCTAAAAAATGACACTATTGCTAGGTGATGTCTACTGCTATGGGCCTAATCTTTAACTAAAGTGCTCATTAGGTTAGCAAGTCTGGTTATTAACTGTGATGGTGAGTTAAACTGAAATGCTTTCAGAGCTAGAGACTGGCTAGTGGTCAGGTAAGCTATACCTCTTGCTTCTCTGGTCGAGTCCACGAAGCCTGGAGAGAACAAGATATAAAACACAACAAGAAGGCAGTAAAATGTCACATGTTGCTTTAGAGAACTCATACTGCATTCCGTGCACATGCAGCTTCTTCTTAATTCAGAAATTTTCAAGGCCCACTTTCATTGATATGACTATCCCCCAAATTTAGTTCAGAAGTTAGCTGATGTTCAGCTCCCCCCGTCCACCTTATGCACGTTAAGATGTCTAAATCAAAGGTGAATTAAACTATCTAGATATATGTATATATGAATACAAGCACACATATTCAACTTCTCCTATGCAAAGCATTTTAAACAGTCTTCATAATAGTCGAGGGCACTATCTGTTCTTATCAAATAATCTAGGGTTACTGAGAGAGCAGATCTTTTTCCTCTGAATGTTTTAGACAGATTATTACACATGTACTAAAGCCATTTAATGCTCATGCATTTTACAACTCAGCATGCATTGAATTAAAGGCTATTAAAAAAACAAAGGAACAAAGCAAGGAGCAGAGAGATACAGTGAGTGTGTGAGTATGAAGTCTTTGAGACTCTAGGTCAGGAAGCTTTGAGGATACTAAATCCTGGGTGGTGACAGTGGTGCTTTGTTGCTTAAAGTTAGAAAGATCCCATGTGGCATTTGGATGGAAGCATGGA